ATAGTTACTATGTAAGGTGTCTCACGCTTAAAACATTAGTGTGCTTTCATGTCTATGCTTTTGCTCGAGTGATTGAGAAGCGTGCGCATAATTTAGAATTTGTTCATATTATTGACATGTATATTGGGTTAGTGTTATAGTAATTTCAGTGTTCTGATATAGTAAATTTCAGCTACATAAATGTTAGTTTAAGACCGCCCACAGTCACGGAGAAACGGAGATTTATAAATGTATTAATATCGAATATATCATCAGAGCTATTTTCATTTATCTAACACAAATAAGAACATACATAACATAGACAATAGACCCAAATATAGACTAGACTAGTCTATGGAATAGACTATGGAATAGACTAGACTATAGACTAGACTATAGACTAGACTATAGACTAGACTATAGACTAGACTATAGACTAGACTATAGACTAGACTATAGACTAGACTATAGACTAGACTATAGACTAGACTATAGACTAGACTATAGACTAGACTATAGACTAGACTATAGACTAGACTATAGACTAGACTATAGACTAGACTATAGACTAGACTATAGACAAAACTATAGACTAGACTATAGACTAGACTATAGACTAGACTATAGACTAGACTATAGACTAGACTATAGACTAGACTATAGACTAGACTATAGACTAGACTATAGACTAGACTATAGCCTAGACTATAGACTAGACTATAGACTAGACTATAGACTAGACTATAGACTAGACTATAGACTAGACTATAGACTAGACTATAGACTATAGACTAGACTAGACTATAAGACTAGACTATAGACTAGACTATAGACTAGACTATAGACTAGACTATAGACTAGACTATAGACTAGACTATAGACTAGACTATAGACTAGACTATAGACTAGACTATAGACTAGACTATAGACTAGACTATAGACTAGACTATAGACTAGACTATAGACTAGACTATAGACTAGACTATAGACTAGACTATAGACTAGACTATAGACTAGACTATAGACTAGACTATAGACTAGACTATAGACTAGACTATAGACTAGACTATAGACTAGACCTATAGACTAGACTATAAGACTAGACTATAGAACTAGACTATAGACTAGACTATAGACTAGACTATAGACTAGACTATAGACTAGACTATAGACTAGACTATAGACTAGACTATAGACTAGACTATAGACTAGACTATAGACTAGACTAAGACTAGACTAGACTATAGACTAGACTATAGACTAGAACTATAGACTAGACTATAGACTAGACTATAGACTAGACTATAGACTAGACTATAGACTAGACTATAGACTAGACTATAGACTAGACCTATAGACTAGACTATAGACTAGACTATAGAACTAGACTATAGACTAGACTAGACTAATAGACTAGGACTATAGACTAGACTATAGACTAGACTATAGACCTAGACTATAGACTAGACTATAGACTAGACTATAGACTAGAACTATAGACCTAGACTCTAAGACTGAACTATAGACTAAGACCTACTAGAACTAGACTATAGACTAAAGACTATAGACTAGACTATAGACGAGACTATAGACTAGACTATAAGAACTAGACGATAGACTAGACTATAGACTAGACTATAGACTAGAACTATAGACCTAGACTATAGACTAGTACTAAAACTAGACTAAAGACTAACTTAGACTAGAACTATAGACTAACTATAAGACTAGAATATAGACTAGACTATAGACTAGACTATAGACTAGACTAATAGACTAGACATAATGACTAGACTATAGACTAGACTCATAGACTAGACTAATAGACTAGACTATAGACTAGACTATAGACTAGACTATAGACTAGACTATAGACTAGACTAGACTATAGACTAGACTATAGACTAGACTATAGACTAGACTATAGACTAGACTATAGACTAGACTATAGACTAGACTATAGACTAGACTATAGACTAGACTATAGACTAGACTATAGACTAGACTATAGACTAGACTATAGACTAGACTATAGACTAGACTATAGACTAGACTAGACTAGACTATAGACTAGACTATAGACTAGACTATAGACTAGACTATAGACTAGACTATAGACTAGACTATAGACTAGACTATAGACTAGACTATAGACTAGACTATAGACTAGACTATAGACTAGACTATAGACTAGACTATAGACTAGACTAAAGACTAGACTAAAGACTAGACTATAGACTATACTATAGACTAGACTATAGACTAGACTATAGACTAGACTATAGACTAGACTATAGACTAGACTATAGACTAGACTATAGACTAGACTATAGACTAGACTATAGACTAGACTATAGACTAGACTATAGACTAGACTATAGGCTAGACTATAGACTAGACTATAGACTAGACTATAGACTAGACTATAGACTAGACTATAGACTAGACTATAGACTAGACTATAGACTAGACTATAGACTGACTATAGATAGACTATAGACTAGACTATAGACTAGACTATAGACTAGACTATAGACTAGACTATAGACTAGACTATAGACTAGACTATAGACTAGACTATAGACTAGACTATAGACTAGACTATAGACTAGACTATAGACTAGACTATAGACTAGACTATAGACTAGACTATAGACTAGACTATAGACTAGACTATAGACTAGACTATAGACTAGACTATAGACTAGACTATAGACTAGACTAGACATAGACTAGACTATAGACTAGACTATAACTAGACTATAGACTAGACTATAGACTAGACTATAGACTAGACTATAGACTAGACTATAGACTAGACTATAGACTAGACTATAGACTAGACTATAGACTAGACTATAGACTAGACTATAGACTAGACTATAGACTAGACTATAGACTAGATAGACTAGACTATAGACTAGACTATAGACTAGACTATAGACTAGACTATAGACTAGACTATAGACTAGACTATAGACTAGACTATAGACTAGACTATAGACTAGACTATAGACTAGACTATAGACTAGACTATAGACTAGACTATAGACTAGACTATAGACTAGACTATAGACTAGACTATAGACTAGACTATAGCTAGACAATAGACTAGACTATAGACTAGACTATAGACTAGACTATAGACTATACTATAACTAGACTATAGACTAGACTATAGACTAGACTATAGACTAGACTTTAGACTAGACTATAGACTAGACTATAGACTAGACTATAGACTAGACTATAGACTAGACTATAGACTAGACTATAGACTAGACTATAGACTAGACTATAGACTAGACTATAGACTAGACTATAGACTAGACTATAGACTAGACTATAGACTAGACTATAGACTAGACTATAGACTAGACTATAGACTAGACTATAGACTAGACTATAGACTAGACTATAGACTAGACTATAGACTAGACTATAGACTAGACTATAGACTAGACTATAGACTAGACTATAGACTAACTATAGACTAGACTATAGACTAGACTATAGACTAGACTATAGACTAGACTATAGACTAGACTATAGACTAGACTATAGACTAGACTATAGACTAGACTATAGACTAGACTATAGACTAGACTATAGACTAGACATAGACTAGACTATAGACTAGACTATAGACTAGACTATAGACTAGACTATAGACTAGACTATAGACTAGACTATAGACTAGACTATAGACTAGACTATAGACTAGACTATAGACTAGACTATAGACTAGACTATAGACTAGACTATAGACTAGACTATAGACTGACTATAGACTAGACTATAGACTAGACTATAGACTAGACTATAGACTAGACTATAGACTAAGACTATAGACTAGACTATAGACTAGACTATAGACTAGACTATAGACTAGACTATAGACTAGACTATAGACTAGACTATAGACTAGACTATAGACTAGACTATAGACTAGACTATAGACTAGACTATAGACTAGACTATAGACTAGACTATATACTGACTATAGACTAGACTATAGACTAGACTATAGACTAGACTATAGACTAGACTATAGACTAGACTATAGACTAGACTATAGACTAGACTATAGACTAGACTATAGACTAGACTATAGACTAGACTATAGACTAGACTATAGACTAGACTATAGACTAGACTATAGACTAGACTATAGACTAGACTATAGACTAGACTATAGACTAGACTATAGACTAGCTATAGACTAGACTATAGACTAGACTATAGACTAGACTATAGACTAGACTATAGACTAGACTATAGACTAGACTATAGACTAGACTATAGACTAGACTATAGACTAGACTATAGACTAGACTATAGACTAGACTATAGACTAACTATAGACTAGACTATAGACTAGACTATAGACTAGACTATAGACTAGACAATAGACTAGACTATAGACTAGACTATAGACTAGACTATAGACTACACTATAGACTAGACTATAGACTAGATTATAGACTAGACTATAGACTACACTATAGACTAGACTATAGACTAGACTATAGACTAGACTATAGACTAGACTATAGACTAGACTATAGACTAGACTATAGACTAGACTATAGACTAGACTATAGACTAGACTATAGACTAGACTATAGACTAGACTATAGACTAGACTATAGACTAGACTATAGACTAGACTATAGACCAGACTATAGACTAGACTATAGACTAGACTTGACTATAGAATAAACTTATCAAAAGTTTTTTTAACCTAATGTTCATACAACACACGGAAAAGACTTTTTCACAACCAATAAATTTGCGATCAACAATAAGAATAACTAAATAAAATTTTGGCGTTGATTACGAGCAGCTGATATGTTTTATTAATAGCCACAATATTAATTTACAGAGACATATAGAGAACATAGAAGTATTAACACACAATTATGGACGTCTTCTATTCTGGCCAGAACGTATGTATATTTATACGTCCGTCTATTGGACTATGTGCTTAGAACAATAAATTAAAGATTGTTTATATAAAAAGCTTTTAAATGCTTTAAACTACGTTTGATTTAAAAATTAAGCGGGAGTATAGAAAAGACTTTCAAGCGAAACAGAGGTGTGCCTGGGAAAAATAAATTAACAAAACAACGCCATTGGATTACTTAAAAAAAAAATAATTAAATAAATAATAAAAAGGATTATTAAAATCTATATATTTTTTTATAAAAAAAGAAGTCGAACAAGAATTAATTTAGACAAAATGATGAAATTTGTATTTGTTTTGTGTGTAGCTGTGGCTTTGATGCAACAAACCCAGGCTTTTAAAGTGGTCACTATACATAAAGGTGTGTTTGTGTGTTTTACAAAAAAATAAAATAAGAATAAATTAACTTATTATAAAATCGTAATTCAAGGTGCCCCATCAGCTGCCCCTGCTCCAGCTGCTCCCGCTTTTGATCCTTCTGCTTTATTACAAGGTGTACAATCTGCCATTGCTGGTAAATTGCAACAAGTCCAAGCTTTGGTCGGTTCTTTGGTCCAACAGAAAACTGCTCTTAAACAAAATGCTTTGAATTCCTTGCAAAGTACTTTAGGTGGTGTTAAGAGTCAAGTTGGCAGCCTAGCTGGCAGTGTACGTCCACCTTTCGTTATCCGCAAACAAATTTATGTTGGTGCTCCTCCCAAGCCAGCACCTGCACCAGCTCCCGAGTCCACTACTACTGCTGATGTTGATACTACAACAACATCGGGTTAATTTTATAATAAATACGATTAAGCAGGCCAAAGTTACAGAATATTTAATAGAAAAAAAAAACGAATTTTAGGTACCCCCTAGTTTTAAGTTGTGCTCACAAAATAATTATAAACGATATTTGTATGTATGTCTTTGTGCTCCTTTGAATGCATATCTTTAAATTGTGCATAAAAGACTTTTAATAAAATTATAATGATTTTTTTATTTAAACTTCTTAGGGAAATTTGTGGCAAGCGATTTAAAGGAAATTGTCCAGTCAAAATTAGGGCATTTTCTAGAGCAGTGATGTCCAAAACTAAAACTGTAGTTGTATTGGTGAGCGAACAAGAAATGAACTGAAAGCAAAATTGTGTATACAAAAAAAAAAAAAAAAAAACATTTACAGACAAAATTAAAATTGAAATTTATTTCATATATCATTAATGAAATTTTTTACATTAATGCTGTTATGACAGTTTCGTAGCAAAAGAATATTTTTAAGTGTGCGGAATTTATAAAACTTATAAGAGTTGACAACTCTTATAAGATAACCAATTATTTAGTTTTTCCAAAAAAATAATTTTATATTTTAAAAATAATTTTTCTTTTTCCCTATCACTAAATCTATCAATATTACTATGAAAAGAATCATACTGTCTTTTTAAAACAATCCCCTAATTTCCTTAAATGTTTTATAACATAATAGACATTGAGTATTGTCAAACGCATTTATAAACATAAAATATTTTTCGCATGTCATATTAAATTCTATCAGTGCTGTAAACAAAAATACTGAAATAAAATCGTACACCCGCTACACATGTGCATTCGTCGCTGGCTCAGTGACGACTAAACAAAAGAGAATAAGAATATGTGTGTGTTTTAGTCAGCACAATTGTGCTATGAAATGGACATCGTTGTTCTAGAGCCTCTTAAAGTGATATTTCACTTTCTGCCGACTTTCTTAAAAAAAAAACACATTTAACGTTCATTTATGGAACTGAAGTAGAACTGAACTAGAACTGAACTAGAACTGAACTAGAACTGAACTAGAACTGAACTAGAACTGAACTAGAACTGACAGAACTGAACTTGAACTGAACTAAACTGATAGAACTGAACTAGAACTGAACTAGAACTGAACTAGAACTGAACTAGAACTGAACTAGAACTGAACTAGAACTGAACTAGAACTGAACTAGAACTGAACTAAAACTGAACTAGAACTGAACTAGAGCTGAACTAGAACTGAACTAGAACTGAACTAGAACTGAACTAGAACTGAACTAGAACTGAACTAGAACTGAACTAGAACTGAACTAGAACTGAACTAGAACTGAACTAGAACTGAACTAGAACTGAACTAGAACTGAACTAGAACTGAACTAGAACTGAACTAGAACTAGAACTGAACTAGAACTGAACTAGAACTGAACTAGAACTGAACTAGAACTGAACTAGAACTGAACTAGAACTGAACTAGAACTGAACTAGAACTGAACTAAAACTGAACTAGAACTGAACTAGAGCTGAACTAGAACTGAACTAGAACTGAACTAGAACTGAACTAGAACTGAACTAGAACTGAACTAGAACTGAACTAGAACTGAACTGAACTAGAACTGAACTAGAACTGAACTAGAACTGAACTAGAGAACTGAACACTGAACTAGAACTGAACTAGAACTGAACTAGAACTGAACTAGAACTGAACTAGAACTGAACTAGAAACTGAACTAGAACTGAACTAGAACTGAACTAGAACTGAACTAGACTGAACTAGAAATGAACTAGAACTGAACTAGAACTGAACTAGAACTGAACTAGAACTGAACTAGAACTGAACTAGAACTGAACTAGAACGAACTAGAACTGAACTAGAACTGAACTCGAAATGAACTAGAACTGAACTAGAAACTGAACTAGAACTGAAACTAGAACTGACTGAACTGAACTAGAACTAGAACTGAACTAGCAACTGAACTAGAACTGAACTAGATGAACTAGAACTGAACTGAACTAGAACTGAACTAGAACTGAACTAGAACTGAACTAGAACTGAACTAGAACTGAACTAGAACTGAACTAGAACTGAACTAGAACTGAACTAGAACTGAACTAGAACTGAACTAGAACTGAACTAGAACTGACTAACTGAAACTGAACTAGAACTGAACTAGAACTGAACTAGAACTGAAGTAGAACTGAACTAACTGAACTAGAACTGAACTGAACTGAACTAGAACTGAACTAGAACTGAACTAGAACTGAACTAGAACTGAACTAGAACTGAACTAGAACTGAACTAGAACTGAACTAGAACTGAACTAGAACTGAACTAGAACTGAACTTGAACTGAACTTGAACTGAACTAGAACTGAAGTAGAACTGAACTAGAACTGAACTAGAACTGAACTAGAACTGAACTAGAACTGAACTAGAACTGAACTAGAACTGAACTAGAACTGAACTAGAACTGAACTAGAACTGAACAAAACTGAACTAGAACTGAACTAAGCTGAACTAGAACTGAACTAGAACTGAACTAGCTGAACTAGAACTGAACTAGAACTGAACTAGAACTGAACTAGAACTGAACTAGACTGAACTAGAACTGAACTAGAACTGAACTAGAACTGAACTAGAACTGAACTAGAACTAGAATGAACTAGAACTTGAACTAGATGCAACTAGAATGAACTAGAACTGATAGAACTGAACTAGAACTGAACTAGAACTGAAATCGAACTAATAGAACTGAACTAGAACTGAACTAGAATGAACTAGAACTGAACTAGAACTGAACTAGAACTGAACTTAGAACTGAAACTAGAACTGAACTAGACTGAACTAGAACTGAACTAGAACGAACTAGAACTGAACTATAATGAAATAGAACTGAACTAGAACTGAACTAGAACTGAACTAGAACTGAACTAGAGAACTGAACAGAAACTGAACTAGAACTGAACTAGAACTGAACTAGAACTGAACTAGAACTGAACTAGAACTGAACTAGAATGAAACTAGAACTGAACTAGAACTGAACTAGAACTGAACTAGAACTGAACTAGAACTGAACTAGAACTGAACTAGAACTGAACTAGAACTGAACTAGAACTGAACTAGAACTGAACTAGAAACTGAACTAGAACTGAACTAGAACTGAACTAGAACTGAATTAGAACTGAACTAGAACTGTACGAATATGTTGTAGACGTACACAATTATTCTGCGAAACTTTTTCCCATTCAGAATATTATTCAGAATTTTATTTCGCTAAAATATCTCTAATATTCCACATAATAGCGAATTTTTTCCAATAGAACATTCTTAACCACTGTGTTATGGTTGATATAACATTTAAAATTCATAGCAATATTAGTATTTATAATGCGGTTTTATGAATCCATTTTCCCATTTCGATTGGAAAATCCCTAGTTTTCGTCATAAGATTTAGTATTTACAAAAAATTAAATTTTCAGTTAAAAGTCCAAAAATCGCAAATTTTCAAAACAAACAGCGCCAAGTTAACCAATACTAAAACGCATTAAAGTGTTGCAACAATGAGAACTTCAAATTTCTTTCACCCTAACGATAATTATATGATTGTAGATGATTTGCTCTTGTTGCAGTTGAACAGTCATCCGTGTCGTTCATTGGCAATAAGTAGAAAATTAAAAAAACTGGGAAAAATCCTAGATAATCTACATGCGGCGAAAATTAAACAACAAATGTAAACATACATACATCTAGATACTCTTCATAAGTACAATCATTTAAATGATGGTATATTATTAGGGATCTCTTGTGGCCAAGTAAAATAATTTCTTGGGTGCCGTGAAAAAATAATTCATACTAAATTTCATATGTATATGTACAATAGCCCCTATAAGCTTCAAAAATGCCTCCTCTGTAATTGGGTCACCCTATTGTGTATGTATTTGTAAATCTGCACTTTATATCTATAGCAAAAATAATCATTAAAATGACGACAATGAACGGAAGCACACAGAAAGATAATAAAAAACAAGCTAAACTACACCTAAAACTACAGTTTTGGTATAGTATTTGAAATGGAAAATGAAGATATGAAAATTAATTAGTTCAATATTGTGAAACAACCAAAGTGAAGTTTATATTTCAAAGAAAATGTTTTAAGTATTTATAACCTTTCTCTCAGTGTTCTAATTATTTTCTCTTGCAGTAACAACAACAACTATCACTACATATATAAACACACATCTAACATCTAATCAAAACTACTACTTATGCATGTATCTACCATATACATATGCATGTTTGTAAAATATACTAAGAACGTTCATTATGATAAAATTGGAATAAATATCTAAAAATGCAATATAATCAGTTACGGTTACATTATCACAGCAGAACATGTGACTGACCGATGATGGACTAAGTACAATGACAGTGATTTTTATTGTGTTTTCAGAGAAAAAGTTTTTTTCATTTTTATTGTAATCATTGCTGCTGCCTTTATCATCTTAATAGCTTCTGTTGATGTTTGAGGACAATGATAAAAAATTAGAAAACCCTTTTTATTATTGAAAGCAGAATAGAAGAAGAAGATATAATATATGTATGTATGTGAACGTATAGTTGTTGGGGTTGATAATATTCCCATTGACCCTTCATTAAAAATGAATGCAAAAATGTGAGCCTTGTCCTTGTCCTATGTGAAAACTTGAAAAAAAAATTTAAAATGAAAAAATTTTCAAATAGCCTACACACACGTTATTTTAACAGCCGGAATGGTCGAAAATTCGAATTCAAGGCCTATCACTAAGCAACTACAACTAACTAACTAAACTAACTAACTAACTAACTAACTAACTAACTAACTAACAACCTAACTAACTAACTAACTAACTAACTAACTACTAACTAACTAACTAACTAACTAACTACTAACTAACTAACTACACTAACTAACTAACTAACTAACTAACTAACTAACTAACTAACAACTAACTAACTAACTAACTAACTAACTCTAACTAACTAACTAACTAACTAACTAACTAACTAACAACTAACTAACTAACTAACTAACTAACTAACTACTAACTAACTAACTAACTAACTAACTAACTAACTAACTAACTAACTAACTAAAACTACTAACTAACTAACTAACTACAAACTAACTACCAACTAACTAACTAACTAACTAACGAACTAACTAACTAA